CATACTCGTAACAATTAGAAAATTTTTAAAATAATTAAATTAGATATGTTCTTCTTATCAAAAAAATTATACACGAAAGAGTTAAATCTTATTATTATCTTATTATTATCTTGAATATTAGAATTTCGAAAAAAACGTTAAAACGCGGGATAACCTCATCACGTCGTAATCTGTGCAAAATTTTTCTCATCCAGTTTTAATCTTCGGTTGAGAATGCGAGAGAGACTTGCTTAAGAATATAATTTTCCTTCACCGAAACTATTTCGCTGTACGTCGGTATCACGTGTATCGTTGGCAGAATCTCGACACTTCCTGTCCTGCCCGCGCATTTCCTGGCCCGAAACTTTTCCTTCGTCACGCTAACGCCCTCGACGACCTTCACCTCGAGCAAACGAACGAAAGGGAGGAAAAACGGCGGAAGGAAAGACGGGGAGGAGAGGGGGAGAGAGACGTCGCGCGGAGAAAAGAGAGGGAGAAAGTCCGAGGCGGAGGTCAATCGCTTCTTGCTTCACGATGTTGGAGGACGCGGGGGAGGAGGATAAATCCCGTTAGATTGGACCATGCCCTCGTGAAACGACGACGCCAATCGCGGTGACAAAAATCGCTAAAGTGAAATAGAATGAGCGCGACGGATCATCTCGCTTGCTCGCAATCGATACTTCACGGAGACTACCACTTGGAGCGGTTATTCCTCGTCTTTACCTGTCTTTCCCCGTCCGAGAAAATCCGAGTTTCCAGATATATTTCCCCTTAGAGAGAATAACAACATTAGAGTTTCACACTTTCTAGAGACACATAATGGAAAAGCGCGCGCGTGTACGAGTTTCTAGATCCTATTCAGCTCTATTCGAAGGGAACGCGCTAATGTAACCAGGTCGCGCCGTTACTCAATGTATTACAGATACAAACCAAGTGTAAATGGACAATTAAAAAAAAAAAAAGAAACAAATGAAAAGGAAGACGAGAAAGAAAAAGTCTCCCGTCGATGCGAATCGCGATCATTTCTCAAACGCGAGCACGTACAACATGACAACGTAGATCATAGTTGGATCATAAATCACAGCTGGATGACTTTCACCTACGCGCAATACGCTAAAGACCCCGACGCGTGTCCATTCAGCGAGGAACGAGGCACTTTGTAACGAGTGTACTCCAACGGTCGCGACCGTTAAATCGTATACGAGCTTCGCGTTGAATCTTCGAGAAATCGAGAAACATGCCACTTTCGCCCGAAGATTCGATAACGGCCCTGTTCTCGTAAAAGAGCAAGCAATTTCTCGCGGACGTTATTCCACCGATAAGCTGCACACGCATCTCTCGACGCGATACGATTTCTTTGCGTTTCTTGCGAGGCTCGTTATTATAAGCAAGGCGTGAAATGTGCAAGAGATTACGAGAGAGACGAAGGTCGCTAGCCTCTTCAGACTAGGTCTCTACACCGAGCTGGTTCACGACCCTCATTACGCGAATCACGACATCTCTCTGACAGAAGCTTCCTTTATCATTAGCCCATAGCACGTAACGTAACACATGTAGACACCAGGAAAATATCTTAAAAATAGTAATAAAACTTTTGTTTTTATTCATTTTGGAATCGATATTATGACGGCAATTGGAATATTTTTATTTAATATATTACATTTCGTGTTGTATGGAAAGATTATTGCAATTATTCGAGTTATCTTGAGGTTTTCGAATAACCAGATTTCACTAAAACGAGAAAGAGATCTTATAATCTGAGTATGAAAGTTACGATAGTAATTTTAACAAAAATGACAATGATTACAACGGTGTTGTACATGTAATTTGTTATACAATGTTTCACAATTTTTTATATGCAGCATAGTTTAAAATAA